ATGGAAATCCGTACTTTTGTCATTGACTTTGATTATCTGAGAGTGTTTGATGCTTGACACAGAAAATGTCCGTCTCCTCCTATACTATTGTCCGAATGGTGAAATCAATGTGCTGTTGTTTGTAGTTTAGTTCTATATGGTATTAGCAAAAGGAGAGTTGTATACATGGAACATGCCTTTTTCATGTCCTTTAAATTGTCCCAATGGTTATGAGCTTGATTTCTATATTAAAAATCACAAGGTCAAATCTTCAAATGAGTAAGAGAAAATGTTGAAAAAAAAGTTATTTTTTATTGTATAAAATATTATGTGATCTACCAAAAGAAGATAAAAAAAGGGCCTTCTTCGTGGTCTCTTTTCTATGTAATAAATCTTTGTTGGTGTTGTCCTCCTTCCGGTGTCATTAGATTTACTTCAGTTTCTGTTTGATTTGTTAATGTTGCTCTTCCTTTTGATGTGGAGATGTTATGTTATGAGATAAATTTGGAATACAACCAGCCAACATCTCAAAAAGAAAAAAAAGAAAGGGTACTGTACTCCTAATAATAAAGTGATAATAATAATATATATATTTTTTGAAAATAGGCAATGGAATGGGAGGATAATAACAATAGTGTTAAAAAGATTTTTGTTTTTGATGATGGGAACAGCATAGACTATGGAGATTGAAATTTCAGCATTATTAATTAATATAATAATAAAAATAGATTACAGTAGGATTTTGATCACCTAATTTTTGTCTTTATCTGACTTAATTTAATAATTTAATAAAATAATATTAAACCGTTTGATGGAGTGGTAGAGGCAGGTTAGCAGTTAGCTGCTGGCTCATACACATATTTCTGAATTCTGATTCCTGATTCTCTCTCTTCTTCACAAATTGACAGTCTTTTTGCAAAAGTTGGGACTTTGCAGCTACTCTGTATCGTCTCTCTCTCATGACACCTGTTCTGTAACTCAGTAAATGTAAACCCTCCCTTATCATCACTTACTTCAGACAAAGTTTGCTGCTTTCTGAGAATCTCAGAACCCACACTGGGAAATTAGATTGAGATTGAGATGGGGTTTGTTGTTCTTGGCTTCTACTACTCTGCTCTTCTCTTGCTGGGAATTTTATGTGCAGAATCCAAGT